TATTTTTTATATTCCTTAATTTCATTCCCCCATTCCAGATTTCTCATTGCTTTTAACTCTCTTCTTCCCAAGTCTTCCTGGGGTTTTTTATTTTTAAAAGTTATCCAATTCAGGGCATTATATTTTAAAAGTCCATAGGGAAGAGAAATAATCTCACCCAGATCAAACACGTTGTTGACAGTCAGCTGCTTGGTGGTGCTGCCATGGCTCTTCACTTCTTCCCCAGCTGTCTGTAGCTTGGGCTGTCTGCGTACATGCCGGCAGCCTTTCTCATGCCTGTTTAAAGAGTTTCCTTGGTCTGTTTGGGCCAACTGCTATTGGCTCCAAATTCCCAAGTTTTCCCTTCCTCCTCATTGCCTCTCCAGGTAACTTTCTGACCTCTTTGGGTCTCCAGATGAAACAAAATCGGACTAGGAAACCAGATGAAACTCCAGTTTCTTTCATCCGTGTCACCATGACGCCCGGGGTGAACTCTGAAACAGAAAATTTTAGTGCATGTATAACTGAAGCAGCATTTGTGACACATTACTGCTGTGCAGATTTTGTCAATGTGATCACCATTGCCAAAAAACACTATTGTCTTTGTTTCTATCTGCTTAGTGGAAAGTATTGATCTTGTACTTCTTAATACATGTTCTACTCTGCCAATGGGATCATTCGTTACTCCATTTTTCAATTATGGCTTTTATTCTTTCAACAAAGCCCAAGCTACTGAATAGCCAAAGAGAGCTAAGACATCCTACCAACTTTTCTCTAGAGATAGTCTTATAATTGTATCTGATTGTGTATGTTTCTTAAAGGTTTTGTGGTTACTTTGTAATTGTTGCAAATGTTCTTTACTTTAGTAAAATATACTGAAATATGAAAAATGCTGAAATCTGTTTCTTGGTGTTTTTCCTAATGGGTTGTGAATGGGTTCTTCTGGGGAAGTGGTACAAACCACAAGGAGAGAAATAAATTCTGCAGTTATCAATTATCAACAATTTACTGCACAAAAATATTTCTAAATAAAATTGAGCTTATGTACATTAATTTTCTAATACCAGTATTTGTATAACTCTCTTTCTAAATCTTATTCACTGTGTTTCCTGTTTATGTTTGGTAATAGTTTAGTCTATCACTAATTTCTATGGATTTACTGCAGTAATTATACCATTATAGATATCTTATCAGAATCTACGGGATTACTTTCTATGAGACTTGTTTTAAGTACATATCTGCAGTCTTATCAGGCAGCCAAATGTACCCTAGAAATAAAACAGGGCAATAATTATATTGCTTTTTTGTACACCTAGCACAAATATCACTAATGCTTTAATTTGCCATCTCTGCCTTAATGATGATTTACTTAGCCTAATTCAAGCTCTTTCCCCAGCTATGGAATGCAGAATAGGGGATCAGGGTTTTTTTTAAAGCTGGAAGTGAAAGAGAATCAGAAGTGATGAAACATGGTTCAGGGAGGTTTTCTCACTGGATCTATGTTTCACCTTACAGTTTACATCTACATGAGCCCTTGGTTTGATGAAAGAAGTCAGCATTTTATCCAGGGAAGAGATTATATGTATGTATGTATGTATGTATGTATCTAAAAATTATTGACCACATTCAAAATAGCATACTAACCCCCAAATCAAGAAACAATGTAACTTAGCAAGTTGTGTAAATAAGAAAGTAATAATTTATAGAGTTGCCCAAGTCAGTATTATTTTTCTATATTTAATTTTAAAAAAAAGTTTCAGAAGAAGAGTACTTGGCAATGTTACTTCTGTACTAGATTTCTATGCATTCACATTGATGCTCATGAGCAAAAAATTTCCAGAAATAAAAAAATATGGATTATTCCTGGACTTCCGGTTTTGTGCCATAGCAAAACAGCCAAGGGATTGTGGAGCGTTGCACCCCATGGCTGGTTTTGTCCTGCCAGGGGACCCTAAATGGGTCCTAAGTCATCCTGGAGAAGCAACGAAGAAAGAGGAGCCCCCTGTGGATCACAGAAAGATGGTGGTTGATGCATTTGATCTGGGGAAAGCCCTCTAACCCAACAGGAGAAAGACTAGCTGCACATCAGTGACTAGCCATAGCTACCAGCAGCTGAAGTCCAAAAGTAATAACCAGATTATTTCTTCCTTCTTGTCATCATCACTATCCTCATTAGTTATGGGCCCTTCCCTGTTACACCTTGCTGTGATCTGCCTCTTTCTCATCATTTGCTCTAGCGCTGTGTTAATTGGGGAGGGGTTGTGATCTTCCATTCGCCTGTTTGTGCCAGAGCGGGTCTGTAGTTGTTTCATCCTTCCAGTTTTCTTGCCTAATGTTTCTTGCCAGTGCAGCATCTGATAACCTGGCAACAGCTCAATATGCCGATTAATAGAATACAGCACTACACATAGAAAGCTGTGTAGCAGTGAGATGATTGCGCACAGCTAAACGCACACTCCACATGGGTGGGATGAGTAGAGAGAAATGGCTCCAGAATTCAAACAGCTATCAACAAGCCCAATGGAAATAGGAACGGGGCAATTGATTACGGGAGGGCAGGAGCTGAATAGACCCATAACATGCTTGTTAGCTAAATGGTTGGCTCTGCAGAAACTATAAGAACGCATTCCCTCAATCCTGGCTTGAACTCAGATGCTGGCGAAAGCTAAATTTTAATAAATTTTTAGTCTTGGTGATCTGTGTTTTCTGATTTTGAATATGAATACACCCGAGATTCATATTTTTAAGACTATTATATATATAGTCTGGTAGTACCCTGTAAATCTCACTTTGTGATTGTCCTATGACTGACCACATTTAGCTGTAGACATAGTTGAAAAAGGTCTTCTGAGTAGTAGACAAATATTTTTTCAACTACATGTTAGCAAAATGAGATTGTGAGAGTTGAAAAAATATGGTTGTGGATTGATATTTTCTTCAATATACATACAAATACCAAAAAGCAGGTATTTGTTACCATATTCTCTCTTTTCTTGTTCTTTTCTTTTTTCTCTTTTCCCCCTCTCTCTCCCTTTCGCTTTCTCCTTTTACTAAATATCACTAAATATCAATGTATCTTCCTAAATTGTATTTAATTTTATATTCCACTTCTGCTTTTTACAGGTATATCATTCATCTTTGTTATAAATGAAACATGGATTAAAGGCCAGTACTAAGATTTTTATTAGAATCTGGCACCAAGATTTCATGGACCTGCTTCTATGCTCATGTGATAACAAGAGATAACAAGACCTGATTTGACCAGGTGGCACATGACTTTGGGATGAAAGATGAAAGTCTCAGAAACTCACAGATATGTTTTGCAGCTACCCCCTACACACAAGCACACACACACACACACACACACACACACGACTTCACCTTTATTTAGCAATCAGTCAAAATATGTTACTAAACTGCTTTAAAAACAGTGGTCTTCAGCATTGCCACTACACCTCCTGACAGTTATGGCATATGATTAGCATGTTGCTATTTGAAGCCCAGTATAATATGAGATATTAATAAGTTGGAAATCCTGCACTGAAATTGTGGTTCAACTTGGCTCTTCTGTAAGGAGTGCTGCTTATCAGTAACCGAGATAAGAGACATCATTCAATTTAAAATTTAGTGGAGGCATTTAAATTAAAATAGATTCTATTTTTAATTTCACAAGAGAGAGAAGAAGAAATCACAGCTTCCCTTTTATAGATTACAAATAAAAAAGTACAAAAGAGCTTTTTGATTAGGAAAGGAAAAGTCTTCTGACCAACTACATCATAAGAATCAAAGCATACAATAATATGTGTGAATTGAAAAGAGCATTGTATTCATGGTATTAAAGTTCAATCTGTGCACATTGTTTGCACATTAACCTACTGTCTGAGCTTTCCATAGAGTTTTCAAAGTTTTTGAAGAAAGGAAGTTTCCATCTCAAAAATCACTCTAGTTTCATATATTACATCTTGCCAGGCTTTTTAAATCATGGTTTATAATGTAAGCCATCATTTATGAAGGAAGGGGAAATATATTGAGAAAAATGACATTGTGGATTTGATAATGACATCTTGGGATAGAAAAAATCTACTATAACCTTGTTGCAGGAACAGTTTCTTACAGGAAACAGATTATTTCCCAATAACACTGAGGATAGGTACACTTATTTTCTAAAACATCTATTTATAGAACTTTCTAAATATTATTTGTTGTATTTCTTTTTCTATGAGCTTTCTTATTGATTTCTAATGAATCTACTGTATTACTTACTCTATTATAGATATTTTATAGATCTTTGTGAACTTTTTAAGCTGTGAAATACACCCTAGAAAAAAGTGTGGCTTAGAATACAACCATGAACTATCATCTTGCTTGTTTGCCCTCCCACAACAAATGCCAATAGTTTCTATGCTTTTATTGTGTAACTTATTCTATTGTCATTCCATTAAATTTCTATTGGTTTATTGAACTTATTTTCAGCCTATTTCATTTTTTATTTTGTAGAAAGTCTTGAAAATTTTCATTCCTGCATTAATGATCTGGGCCAGTTCTCAGCTCTTCATCCAGCCATGATGGACAGAATAGAGAGTGAGATTTCTTAAAACCCAGAGCTGAAAGTGAATTCCAAGTGATGAAATTTGCTTTAGGGAAGTCTTCTCATTTGATACAAGTTTCACGTCTCACAATTTGCTATGACTGCAGCCCCAATTCTGCTAATATAATTCTGAGATATTATTGTTCTACCTGATAACTAGTATGGGACTCTTGGGAAGTAGCTATATAATTGTTAATGACCAAATATGCTAATGAGCACATAGAAATTGGTTTTATTTCAGATTCTTATTATTTTAATAGGCATACAGAAATAAATTTTTAGTTTGGTTTGCTAATTATGCTAAGAAATACACAGATGTCTGTTTTATTTTGGTGTACAATTGTCTTGAGGGAAACAAAACTGATAATAAACATTCATAATAAATTAAATTGCAGAGAGCTGTTTCACTACATGAACATTAGATCAATAATAGGAAAATTTATCATTTCAAACCTCTCTGGATATGAATAAAAGAGATTATAATATTTCTAAATATCTTTTTAAAAATATGTAAATATTGTTGAAAATAAGGAGTCACATTATTGAAAGAAATATTGAGATGTCAGAAATCATAGCTATAATAGCTTGTATTTCATTTTCTGCCTGGAGGGACTACAGGTTTGTATGTGATGGGGGATGGGATTTATTAATCCTTTCTGCTAATATCTGATTTCTTATTCATTCAAAATATTTTACAGTGTGATTGTCATGTATATTATAACCTAGTAAATATTAAGGCAAAATTTATGTTGTAAGAAAAATTCATTCTTTCTTTACATATGTCATTAAATATATGCTAAGAAATCTAATATTTATTTATTACTTTAATAAATATTAATAAGCATTCAGAACAGAATCTCTATGACTGCAGATAGATATTTCACTACACAAAAATACTGATATTGACTTAGTGATAGTGTTCAGATACAATGAAGAAGTCAGATGCTTTTAAGAAAGACAATAATTTTTAACATTATTTATTAAAAATATGGAGCTCATACAATTGTTGTGAATCAGATTTCAATGTAGAGAGATCTCTGTATTTGTATTAATGGTACCTTTTACTGTATAATTTCCAAAAAAGTAGATCACACCTTCATGCATGTAAAAAAAAAATCAAATGTAATTGAGAGGGTGGAACTATTACTAATAAGTAAATTATCATCCACAAAGTCATTTCACAATTTCCACAGATATGAATAAAAAAAAGGATGGTAAAATTTCTCAATGTCTTTTTATTTTATTTTTTTTAAATATCTAAGTATTATTGTTGAAAATGTGGGTTCACATTTTAAAAAATGCTGACATGTCAGAGTTCAGAGGTAATGTGTATAGTTCTATGGCCAAATTCTGATGGAAGGTATATAGATGTATATTGAATGGGAGACTGTTTTTTTTAAATTGAGTTTTTATTTCCTTCTCATAACTGAACAAAGGGATTAATTTATTTGCTGATTTCTTTTTATTTATGTTTTACAGGGGGATCATATATAATACCAATAAGAGAATGTCAAAATAACAGTTATGTTGTAAGTAAAGTATTACTTACAACACTATCCCAATCCTTTTACCAGTGGTAAGGGATTGTGTCAAGACCAAGTATTCCGAGCAATCTTCCTCTGTTGAAAATTGATTTGAATATGTTTTCTTAATCCTAGATAATCTTTTTGATCAGGACAGAAGGTAAGAGAATTGGAAGGAGGAAAGAAAGAAAAATATCAGATTTATGACTAGTCCTTGAGTGGATCTTTGATGTATGGAGATTGACAGAATGTGTTCTATGCAAACATGCATTTTATCTGTGGTCTTAGCCTCTGTTCACTCCATCCATGCTTTATTATTCTTTTAGTTTTCTGTTCTCCCCACAGATAAAAAGGCCATTTCCCAAAATTTACTTAACTTCATCTCCCTCTTCTGCTTTCTTGCAGTTATGCCTTGCAGTTTTCTCTTAAATGACACATGGAGAATCAAACCACAGTGTCTTATTTTCTGCTCCTGGAATTATCAAAAAATCGGCATCTGCAGCTTTTTTATTTCTTCTTGTTCCTTGTGTTATACCTGGCAACTCTAGCAATAAATCTTCTCATCATCTCTGCTATAACTTTAGACCATCGACTACAAGGACCCATGTACTATTTTCTAATGAATTTGGCTGTGCAAGATCTGGGCATTGTTTCAGTTATTGTCCCCAAATCCATGAACAATTCTCTCATGGATACCAGACACATCTCCTATTTTGGTTGTGTTGCTCAAATCTTTCTCCTTCTCTCCTTCGAAGGTGCTGATTATTCCCTTCTGACTGTCATGGCTTATGATCGATATGTTGCCATTTGCCATTCTCTGCACTATGAAATGATGATGAACCAAAAAGCCTGCACTGAAATGATAATTGCAGTGTGGATTGCAGGTCTTCTCTATGGAACAATACATAGCATTGGCACCTTTTCCACTCCGCTTTGTTCAAATGTTATCAACCAATTCTTTTGTGAAACTCCACAGCTGCTAAAACTATCCTGCTCTGGCTTCAATCTACTAGAAGTTGGAATCATTTTGGCTTGTATCACTGCTGCACTAGGTTGTTTTATTTTTATGATTATATCTTATGCAGTGATCTTTAGGGCAGTGTTAAGAATGCCTTCTGATCAAAGTAAGCAAAAAGCCCTATCCACTTGTATTCCTCACCTTATAGTAGTATCTATGTATTTATTAAGTGGATGTTTTGCCTATGGGAGACCTCCCTCTAACACACCATCTTATTTAGATTTTGGGTTTACTGCTCTGTATTCCCTTCTTCCACCCCTGTTCAATCCAATCATCTATAGCATGAGAAATAAGAATATTGGACGTGCGCTTTCTCAACTGTGGAGATTCTAACAATTTTTTCTAATGTTGTTTTTATTCTGTTCAGCACAGATTTGTATTTTTCTGGCATTTCTTTTACTTCTATAAATAAAGGATTAAAGTAGAAAGGGATAATTGGGATGAAGGCAAATCTCACATCTCAAACCAGAAGAACCATAGAACTCTATATGCTGTTAGTAAATGCCCTGCATCCTTAATTACTGTCAATACACTCCATAGATGCTAAATATGAGTATTTGATAGCTCTGGCATTCCACAAACTGACAATTCCTGATTTTAGTGAAGTGAGGATCAGGGTTTAATGTGAATAAGGGAAACATGTGAAATCCAGAGGAACTTTAAATGCTGTTACCTATTTTTTCCCCTGTGCTTTCTCAGATAAAATAACAAACCTCTAATGCTGGCCTATAATATAACTAGTTAAAATCTCAACTTTTACCAAAGTACATGGGCTACTATAGTCCCTCTTGAAATGGTCATTTCCTCATGAACTTTGATACTTTGCATGTTTCAGTCCCTACAGTTTTCTTGGTAGCATTTTTCAAAATTGGTTTGCCATTGCCTCCTTTCATGGCTGAGAAAGAGGGACTGGCCCAAAGTCATAAGCTGGCTACATTTCTAAGATGGAATAGAAGTCCCAGTCTTCTGGTTTCTAGCCTCATGTCTTAACTTCTATATCAAGCAGATTTTCAGAGTCTTTAGCTCAGAATATTATTTCTTTCTCTATTTAAAAATATTAAATTTATTTAAAATGCTTGAGCAAAAACAAACACCTGGCAGGATGAGCCAGATGTGTGAGCTGAAAAATTAGGATGATATTTACCACTAATGAAGATAAAAATAATAAAAAAAAGATTTCAGAAATCTTACAACTTTTACAAAATGGAAGAGATAAGATATATTCCCTGGTCTAGTATCTGGGGAAGGGAAGATAGATAGATCTACACTGATTCATTATTTCTTAAGGACATTATTGAAAATAATGAATTTTATCCAAGCGACTGATAATGCATACCTAATACCATATTGTTATTTTGTGATCTCTTTGCTACCACCCTCAAAATACCAGGACACATAACTAAGTCAGAATATCAACAGTCAGCCAGAATCTGCAAAGATGAAGTCATGAAAGCAAAGATTCAGAATGAACAAAGACTTGCAACAAAAGTCAAAAATAATAAAAAAAGTTTCTTTCAACATATTAATAACATGAAAAAAGTCAAGAAATAGTCAGTCCACTAAAGAGAGAAGATAGCAAAGAAGTAACAGGCAATAGAAAGAAAACAGAGCTGCTTAATATCCTTAATGGTACTACATCTACATGGAGGGAAATAAGCAGTGGGATATGACAAGGGTTTAGGCCCAGTACTCTTCAATATCTGCATAAATGACTTAGATGAGGGAATAGAAGGAGAACTCATAAAATTTGCTGATGATACTAAGTTGGCAGGAATAGCCAATACCCTAGATGATAGACTCAAGATTCAGATGGATCTCGACATACTTGAACACTAACAAAATGAAATTCAATGTAAAGAAATGTAAAGTCCTACACTTAGGCAAGAAAAACCAAAAGTACACATACAAATTAGGTGAAACATGGCTTAATTGCAGTAACTGTGAGCGGGATCTTGGAGCCCTAGTGGACAATCAATGAAATATGAGTGAGCAGTGTGTGGAGGCAGCCAAAAAAGCCAATGCAGCAGAAGAAATTGCTTGGGATATTTTATTAGCAGAGATGGTGTTTTGTATATCACTCTAAAAGATGATTAGTGGAATAAACTATAATTTGCTGGAATGTAAAATAAAGTATCTTACAAATCATGATTATAAAATCTATTAACCATTTACAAAATGGTTTACGAAAGCACAATAAACCCTAAATTAAAGAAACAGTTGTGGGATTCAGTTGGTTTGCACGCTGGTAGCTAATTTTTTATTGCCCGGCCCAGAATGGACTTCCAGAAGTGGCATCCACACAGAGAACCAGTTGTTCACATATCTGAATCCCAACATTGTAAATAAGGATATAATAACTTATGGAGTCCAACATGTCACCATTGTTTTTATGTTTATCTTTTAAAAAAAAGTTTCAGCAGCAGAGTACTTGGCAATGTTATCTCTGCACTAGGTTATTTATGGTTTCATATTGATGCATGGGGGCAAAAAGGTTTCCAAAACTAAGAAATTTAGATACTTCTTTATCTGGAAAATATTATTTGGAGTATTGGATAATTCATTTATAAAGAAGTCTGGTAATGTCCTGCCAATCACACTTTGTGACTGTCCCATTACTGACTGAATTTAGATGTAGCCCTTGTTGAAGAGGGTCTTCTGAGTACTAGACATTTTTGCAACTATAGCAAAAAATAAGACTGAAAGATTGACAAATATGACTGGAGTTTGGTACTTTTTTCAATACTGTTATCATGTTTCTGTTCTTTCCTCTCACTACCCTCTCCTTTTTGCTTTCTACCTTTACTAAATATCAAGTTTTAGCTTTCCAAATTATATTTCTCTCTCACTTCTACTTTTTACAAGTGTATAATTTAATTTCATTATAAATGACACATAAATAATCAGCACAGTGCTTTATTTCCTGCTCACTAGATTTTCAGCACTTGACAACTGTAGGTTTTTCATCTGAGAATTACAAAAGCAAATGTTCTCATCATCTTTCCACTAAATTTGAATGCTTAATTGCACAACCCCATGAATTTCTTTCTGATGAATTTGACTGTGTGGGAACTAGGCTTTGTTTCAAACATTTCTTAAGATTATAGCAATTTTTTTCATGGCATGTGACATATTATTTACTTTGCTCATATTGCTCAGTTCATTTTTAAATCTCCTTTACTGCTCATGGTTTTTCCTTTCTCTAATAATAGTAGTAGTAGTAGTAGTAGTAGTAGTAGTAGTAATAATAATAATAATAATAAAGTTGGAAGGGACCTTGGAGGTCATCTAGTCCAACCCCCTGCTCAGGTAGGAAACCCTATACCATTTCAGACAAATGGCTGATCACAGCCAAGAGTCAGGGCTGTGATCAGGTAAACAGGCAATTGATTCTTTTGGATCCAGAACAATAAGTGCAGGGTGAATAAAGAGACGTTAAGCTCTATTATTAATCCATGCAAACTGATTTAAAATGATAAGATAAAAAGAAAGATTATACCTAGATTTCTTATAAGCTATCAGGAGCTCCTTAATAACAACATCAGACATACTCCAGGTGTGGCCAATTTCCACATTACCCAATATTCGGTTCTCTGCAGAAGCTCCCAGCTTAAAGGGCAATGGTAGTTTCTTTATTAGAACCTGGCACCATGAATTCATGGACGTGCTTCTATGGTCATGAGATGGCCAAACCTCAGAATTAAAAGTCTGAGAAATTCACAAGCACTTTGGAGTTATGTAAAAATTCCCCACTCCCTTTATTTAGTAAGCAAGAGGGAAAAACAAGTAGTTACAATGGATTTAAATTTTTTAGACTTTTCTTAATATGGAGAAATCAAAATGCGCTACTAAACTTGTCCATATACAACAGTCATTCGCATTGCCACTACACTGCATAACAACAACAACAACAACAACAACAACAACAACAATAATAATAATAACAATAATAATAATAATAATAATAATAATAATAATAATAATAATAATAATAATAAAGTTGGAAGGGACCTTGGAGGTCATCAAGTCCAATCCCCTGCTCAGGCAGGAAACCCTATACCATTTCGGACAAATGGCTGTCCAGTCTCTTTTAAAAACTCCCAGTGTTGGAGCATTCACTGCTTCTGGAGGCAGGTTGTTCCACTGGTTAATTGTTCTAATGGTCAGGAAGTTTCTCCTTAGTTCTAGGTTGCTTTTCTCCTTGATTAATTTCCATCTGTTGCTTCTTGTCCTGCCTTCAGGCACTTTGGAAAATAGCTTGACTCCCTTTTCTTTGTGGCAGCTCCTGAGATATTGGAACACTGTTATCATGTTTCCCCTTGTCCTTCTCTTCGTTAAACTAGACATACCCAATTCCAGCAACTGTTCCTTATATGTTTTAGCTTCCAGTCCCCTAATCATCTTTGTTGCTCTTCTCTGTACTCTTTCTAGAATCTTAACATTTTTTTTACGTCGTGGTGACCAAAACTGGATGCAGTATTCCAAGTGTGGCCTTACCAAGGCATTGTAAAATGGTATTAATACTTTACGTGATCTTGATTCTATCCCTCTGTTAATGCAGCCCAGCACTGTGTTGGTTTTTTTGGCAGTTGCAGCACACTGCTGGCTCATATAAAATTATTGTCCACTAGGACTCCGAGATCCCTCTCACAGTTACTACTATTGAGCAAGGTACCCTCTATACTATATTTTACGTATTGGGATTTGCGGCATTGAAGCGACAGACAAATTGTTAACCAAGCTCTTTCTTTTATTTGTTCCACAATGCAACTCAGCAAGCAACAGGTGCACAGGCCTTTTATAGCTTCCCAAACCCAATCAATCACAAGCACCTCTTTTCGCGCCTTGCGCATGGGCACAAGACCAGTGCCAACCAGTCTGGTTCTGGGCAGTTTCTAAGTTGCCCGGGACTGTTTGCAACATTTCTGGGCCTGCTGAATCACCTCAGCAGGCCCAGGACACAACACCCCTCTCCCTGGATAAAGCACACATGACTATACACACAAGGGGCAGGGAATAGTAATTGTTCAAGGGACAGGGAATAGTAATTACTCTGGCCAGCACACAGGCAGAGCACCTTTATAAAATAATGGGTTTAACTTAAACAAAACGCTTTCCAAAATCATAATTGGTATATATTACGCTATACTGTGTGTTAGTCAACATCATCCTGTTACAAACTAGCAAAGTTCCTCTGCAATGACAGAAACCTCACATAGTCTCCCAGATGCTTGGGAGGGGCCTTGGCTCTTTGTGATCTTCGCAGGGTCAGGGAGGGTGCCTGGTCTGCCAGCTCACCTGCCAGGCTAGGCAGACCAGGACTTCTACTTAATGGTGCCTGGCCTACCTGCCTGTGTGATGAGCTAGATAGATCAGGACTTTGATGCCTCAAATTGCTAGGTGACCCACCCTGCTGCTGGCTGGCTGGATC